GCAAGTGTTGCAAAACTCTTTTAGCTCTGCCGATAGGTATACCTAGGTGCACGCCATTCCACTAGCAAGCCTTCTGCCCAGATACACTCAGCTTTCTTATTCTGTGGGCCAGGTAAGCCTGCCACTCTGTCTCATGCCTCTTGGTTCCACTGTTGCCGTCTTTCAGCCAGGCATCTCTCTCACAGCCTGGCATCTCTCAGCCATGGAGGTCCAGGACAGGGATTTCGGGTCCAATGACATGCTCCACTTCACATCCAGCTCTTCTCTCTTGATGGCAGTGAGATTCCCTTTTCTCGCCTCTAGGAGGGCTCTTTTAAGCCTGGCAGAGAGATAAAACTAACCAATCCCAACACCAGAGGTCTACGTGCCTTATTTGCATGGTCCCACCCAGTAATCCAGTGGAAGTTACAAAGTTTATGGCTAGAAAAGCCATACCAAGTAATTCACTGTACCGCTGGACAAATTCAGACTGCAGGTGTTGGTAAAAATCTTCAGTATCTTCATTTTCAGCTTTAGTGTTTGATGGGTAAAGTTGGATAATAGTAGTATTAACTAGTCTTTGTTGTAGACATATGGATATTATCCTAACACTGACAGCACCGTACTTCAGGATGAGTCTTGAAATGTCTTTTTTGACTATGAATATGACACCATTCCTCTTCAATTTGTCATTCATGGCATGGTAGATCATATGACTGTCTGACTCATAATAGCCAATACCAGTCCATTTCTGCTCACTAATGCCTAGGGATTTAATTTTATCTGTTCCATTTCATATTTGACAACTTCCAATTCTCCTAGATTTGTACTTTGTACACTCTTTGTTCACGTTATTAATGAGTGTTTGCAGCTCTCTATTATTTACCATAATGTGAGCTCTAAAATACAGATTAAGCCATTCATCTTTTACTTCACAGCTTATACCACTGCATGAAAGCTACAACTGCACCTTCCTTGCTTTCAGTGATGGAAATTGGTCTCTGATGGGCTCAGAGTCGCTGTTCAGTTTCTATCCTTTCTACAAGCAGCAGAGCAATATCACACAGGCTGCCTTGAGCCAGGGAGGCTCTGAAATAGGAGAGTATTCCTTTTAACCTGCTGAACGGTCACTCACAGCTGGTGAGGGGAAGTACTGTGGTTACTGGAAACTGCTCAGTGGTGCCCCCTTCAGGTCTGGGCCATACCTGCCATTCCTTAGGCACACCTCTGGGGGAACCTCTCCCCAGGCACCATGCTGAGCTGGATGGGGCCTGAGAGCTGGTTCTCCCAGCTGTGCTGCACACCCCGGGCCCCTCGGCTGCTCCCTGTCCCTGCGTCGGTGCACAGGGTGGGCAGCAGGTTCTGAGGGCGGAGACTGAAGCCCACAGAAGGAAAAACTGGACTTCAGAGCACTTCCTCAATTTTACAATGCTCTTCTGCACTGTGGCAGTCAGAAGCCAACCCTGAGCTGAGTGACACCCATTATAACTCTGGCTGCGGGCCACTGCCACTCCCTGGATGATGATGAGGATGCACTGTGGGCGCATAGTGGGTGAGAGTCCACAGAACCCCACCTTGCCCCTGGGCCCACACACACTGGACCCACCCCTAGAGCCATGACTTGTGAGGAAGACTGAGGGCCATCCCCTGGGACACTGTAAATTCTGGCTGTTTCTTCAGCATCAGAGAACACCTGCAGGGTGAGTCGAAGGTCTCCGTACACACATGGGCACATGGCAAGCAACTCAAGGCTGTCAACAGGCCTCTTCCTCTGAGGGCAGGCGGCCCTTGTTCCTGAAACCCGGAAGCATCAGACCTGAGAGAGGTGGCTTTGGGGAGTAAGGAGGAAAGGCAGAGTTGAGGAGTAAAAAGGGCACAACCCATCTAAGGTAAACCCAGTAATGATCTGCTGGAAGTACCGCATGTAGCCACTGTCCAGGGAGAAAACGGGTATTCAGTAAAACACTCAGCCCCATTCCCTAAGTAGCTGTGGGTGCAGGATCCAGTGGGAAAGGCGGGTGGCAGCCCTGCACAGGGCTGTGCTTTGGTGAGCAGAGCCGTGACCAGCAGGCAAGTCACCCTCAGCGTGAGAAGCATGTGCTGTCAAGAGCCCGGCTCCCAGGGACACTTCACGGTTCAGCATCTCCAGGGACTCGGCTTCCTCACAGGCCACCTTCCAGTCAGGCGTCAGGCCTTGTATCATGAACATAAAATGGGCAGTCCTGTTATGGCACATAGATTCTCCAGAGCCAGGCAGCATGTGGGATGGCCCCAGCCCCATGCTGTCTCCAAGTTTCACATAGATGAGGTGAGAGGAAGAGTGAAAGAGTTGTGTCAAAATGTTGATTTATGGTCTGGAGGCAGAACACACCCCAGAGAAACTCCCTGTTTCCTTGTAAGGCCTTTAGCTGATTGGACGAGGCCCACCATGTTGAGTTAATCACTTGTAACAACTAATTCGACGAGGCCCACCACATTATGGAGGGCAGTCTGCTTTACTTTAGGCTAAATGATGTAATCATATCTAACAAACTGATGTTTGACCCAACAGCTAGGTCCTGTAGCCTCACCAAGTTGATACATAAAATAAGCCATCACAGCCAGGACCTCTGAGGGAAAGGACTTCCCAACTACTTGTGTCGCCCAGGCCCTGGGAGAGACCGATGCGTGGCATTTGCCCAGGATGTCCTTGTTACTTAAGGATACAACGATCTGTGTTGCAGGTGCCAGTGTTCTGTACGCCAACCATCATCAGCCATTAACATTACCCCACAGAAGAAACATGCTGGCATTTTTTATGGGCAGATACTAATGTATTCGGCTGTATCCCCAGGACAACAGACCACGTAAATGCTGAGCCCTACCCCAGCATGGCCCCAAGAAGGCAGCCGTTGGTATGGCAGGCGTATCAATGCCCTGTGATGAAAAAGCACGGCCAGCATAAAGTAAGTGGGCACATGCAGGCAACGCCAATCTATCGGGAAAGATTGATTCAAACGGTGAAACAGAGCATGAGCCTGCTCCTTCCTTGACTGCTCCTCAGAACAGAGACAGACTTGCAGTAGCAGTGTGGTTCGCTAAGCACACACCTCCGTGGAGCATGAGTGACAGTTGGCTGCTTCAGAAACTGAGAGTTTAAAGAAAACCTCACTTGTATGACTGAATATCTGAGAAGAGACGTGTGTTGACTGGCAGGACTTCCACGGTGCCTCTGGAGTGCTGATGAAGAGCCACTGAGACAGCTGAGCAGTAAAAACCCCCCTTAAGCTGTAATCACTTCCACTGTTGTCTCTGTATCTGCACACCTCCCCCACCACACCGCCTCCATCAGAGCACAGAAAAGTTTCACAGTGAAAATGGCAGAGAGCCCTATGTTTGGCTTACAATTTGCTACTATGAAGAATTGTTAATGGGCCAAGGATAGTCACAGGGATGAGCCCGGCCCCTCTAGAGGTAGGCGTGACAGTGGTTGGTATCCCTATCAGTGGGGTCCTAGAAATAGACTGGAAAGTACACCAACCTTCCTGTCTCCATGTTGTCTTTGAAGCTTTATAGTTACTCATTCTCTGTGCCCCTCATGAGACTTGTACATTGAAATGAAATGGGCCCCTCGCACATCTTTGTGGTCAACTCATTGGGAAGTGTCAGCAGGAAGTTGAGAGGGAGCACAGTGCTTGCAGTTTCAAGGTGGAATGTGAGTGGGTGTCCACCCATCACCTCAGAGGCATGGCACCGACGCCTCCAGCCACCCTGGCAGGAAAGCCGGCCCGAGAACAAAAAGCTTCAGCAGCCCCTGAGCAGATGTGGGCGTCACCCTCTCAGCTGTGCAGGAACCCACCACCACCACCACCACCAAAATCCAGCCCAGAGTTCCTGGCACTGATGGGTGGGATGCCCGCAGGGACAGCCAGCGACCCGGCCTGAAGAGCACCCCTCCACCCACAGCCGGGCTGGGTGGCGGGCCAGCACCCACACACTGCCCAGAGGCTCTGCTGCTCCGGCTCGGCCAACTTGTGCGCCTCCTGCGGTCTCTGCTTAGTTTATGGTGCTGCTAACAGGACACCGGGCAGTCTGCTGGGAAACAGTGCCCAGAACCCTGCTTCTGCCCCATCGTGGGGAGATTGAGCTGGCGCGGAAAGCAGTTGAACCCCATGGAGACTAATGGGGTGGAGCTTGTGGACCCCCTGCCGGTATAAGAAGCAGGTGGATTCTGTAGACTCTAACCAGGGCCCCAGTCTGTTGATGACGGACAGAAAGGCAGCAGTGCTATTGACAGGTCTCACGTGTGTCCCATGTGCTGCTGGGGTGGCAGCTCAGAGAGGAGGGAGGGCCTGGGGCTGGGCAGTCAAGCACCAGCATTACTGCCTGCCCTTCATGCTGGGACTGGCCCACGGCAGGCCAAGAACAAGGTGGAGACCTGTGGCTGACGTGTGTGCACAGTGCATGTGTGTGTGTGTGTGTGTGCGGGGGGGGGTGCTGGTCGGAGCAGACTCAGAGTGATGGATGGACCACAGGTCATTTGGCTAGGACCCCACAGTGCAGACAGGCAAAGGAGATGCTCCCTTCCCATGAGGCCACTCAGTTTACATGTGTTACACAAAGCACTGTGTCCCCAGGTGTGCACGGTTAATAACGATCGACTGGTCACTGAGAAATCAGAGGTTCAAGTCCACCCAGGGGCACCTTGTAAAAAAGGCCTGGCTATCTCCTTCCAGTATGTCAGCGCCTAAAAGCCCGGCGGCACCCGGCTCTACACGGACACCCGTGGGGTCGCCGTGAGTCGGAGTCAGCCCGGTTCTTGTGCTTCGTGCCAGGGTCACGTTGCAGCCCTGTGGTCTCATCTGCACCTTTCCAGTTCGTTCAGATGCTGAGGACGCCTTCCTGCTGGCACAGCTTGGCTGGCGGGGTGGCCAGGGGAGGAAACCTGTAGTTTCATGCCCGACATGGGAAGTGGGGGTGGGGCCTGCTGTGCTGGGCTTCCTGCTCCTCGGACGTACAACGGGCTGTGCCTTTCTGTACAGGTGCGTTTATTCCCGGCGTTCCCGTCCAGCCTGTGGTCCTGCGATACCCAAACAAGCTGGTGAGTGTGTTGTCCCGGGGCTGGAGAGCATCACGAATCGGGAGGGCTCTTCACACATCTGCTCTTAACACAGTGGTCGTGAGCAGAGCAGGGGAACAGTGCGGCATGCGGGCTGCGTTCCTCACGCTCAGCCGAGTAGTCAGGACAGGCCTAGTGACAGACCCGTGTCTGGTAAGCCCCAGTATTCCGGAACACTCCCTGGATCCACATACAAAGTCCCTCCTTCGTGGGTCCTGTCATGCGCGTCCCTGATGTGGTGCGGGGCCCCTGCCGTGTCCCCCCAGCTCTCCCTGCCCAAGCTCCCTTGGGCGGGCAGTGGTACCCTAGAGGAGGTCTCATTTCGGGGCAGGGGCTTCTCTGCAGTCGATGGCGGCATCTGTATGTCTCCGCTCGGTTCTGGTGAACAAAAGCGGGAGAGTTCTTCCCTGAAGACGTGAAACAGGCCGCTTGTCACACACTGTTGAAGGCTGAATTCACGCAGGTGCTGAGTCCCTGGGTGGACGCAGTTCAGTGTTTGCTGCTGACGGAAAGGCCAGAGGTTCAGGGCCCCCAGAGGCACCTCAGGAGGAAGGCCTGGAGACCCATCTGGAAGCTCAGACCTGTAAACCGGGTGCAGCCCAGTCCTACTCTGACCCACACGGGGCCCCGTGGGGCGGACCAGCTGGATGGCAGCTGGGCGGAAATAGGCCGTGCGCCTCTCTCGGCCATCGGGTTTGCTGTGTCTTTGCTCGTTTGTCTGCTCTCAGAGAGCAAAGAAGAGGAGGGCTGGCTGGGGCCCCGGGGATGGCCCTGACAGAGCCTGGGCTTGGAGAGACAGTCTGGTGAGGCCTCGGAGCAGGCTCGGCCAGGGCTGAATCCTGCCTGGTGGCGGCGGCTCCCACCTCCTGCCCCGCCTCCCGCAGCGTCTGCATCCACCCATTAGCACTGCTGTCCCTCCCCCAGGTGCTGGGCAGAGGCTCCGTGCCTGGCAGGGGCGGTCAGCCCCTCCCTTTGCGGGTCGCCAGAGCCAACGGCAGCATGGAGCTCCCTGTGGGTGCCGTTCCCATGGGTGCCTGCTCAGGGCCCCTGCGTGTCACCTTCAGCTGCAGCTCCCTCTGGGACCTGTGTCCTCTCCCCTCACGGGCTGCGGGGCTGGTAGCCCAGGGACAGCTCAGGGGACTCATTCCCTCTGGGCCTGAAACAGCGCTTTGTGTTCTACAGTGTATCTAATGGATTAACCCTTGGGGAGAGAAATCACGAGGCAAATTCACTTATTGGCATCTTTTCTCTCTGTTTACTGCGATTTGCCTTTGTGACCACAGAGGAGTGTTTATTGAAAGAAAAAGGACAGGGCTCAGGGTTACCAGCAGAGACACTGGCAGGCTCACTGGCAACCCTCTGTGACAGGCCAGGCCTGGAGGAGGCAAAGAAAGACACACTCACCTGGTCCCCATCACCTGCAGGATTCACCGTGCTGGGGGAGTGGGCAGAATAGGGGGGTGCGGTGAGGCTCTGGTCAGCCAGGAGTGAGTATACCAGCCGGTCAGTGAGTCAGCAGCAGGCAGAGCCAGTAGCCACATGTAGACGGGTCGATGCATTCTATGGAACAGACTTTTTCACCTAGTTCCTGATGCAGGGATCTGGTGGGAGAGCCAGCCCTCCTTTGGCCTCCCTGCATGAACCACACTCTAAATGCATCTCCTGTGAATAGGAGAATAGACCCCAAAACGAAAGAACCTGGGAAGTCAGCTGTGTGTAGACATCTAGATTTTTCTTCTTCAGGTGTTTCCCTCGGCAGTTTTTAGGCAGCATGCCTTCACTGGTTTTTCTGGACTCCTCCTGCTTCGTTGTCCGAGAAGCCACACCTCGGCCTTGCATGCCTGTCCCTCTCTCTACACTCTTAAGTTGCATAGTTGCAGAAACTGATGTAGGCAGGTTTGAGCACAGACACGAGACGAGGGGCCAGTGTGGGTGTGGAGACCAAGGGCCAGGGTCATATCAGGAGCTAGGGAGAAGGGTTCAGGAATCTACTTCCATAGTGATACTGCCTCAGAAACCCAAGGAGGGGTCGCTATGAGTCGGGTCTGACTCGAGGGCACATAACAACTACAACAACAGAGGGAAGGAAGCCACAGGAGGTCCCCCGGGCATCTGTCACCTGGCATGTCAGGTGGCCATTGTGTTCGCTGAGGTTGGATGTGTGCCGGGCTGAGGGTGGAGAGTGTCAGAAATACCCTTGACAGGGCCAGTACTGGGCCTGCCAGGATGGGGAGGCACTGCCCACAGTGGGGGGTCAAGGTGGCGGCAGAGGTTTGCTCCACCCACTCTGGGGGCTGATGGCCACATG